TAACCAACATCTGTGTATTACAGATATACGAACGAAGCCATATATCTGGAATTCAGCATATTGACAACGTATTATTTTATGATTTGTTCTAAATAACCAAGTTTTTTTAGGTCGTAAGTCGTTGTCAAATCTATCCGAAGTTCAACCCGGACCCAGTAATTTGAGACGTAGTCCTAGACTACAAAAAAAAAGATTTGTTTATATTCATCTTTTCCATTGCGACTATATATATGTATAGTAAGAGTCGGTTGTTCCGACTTCTTGGTAAGTTAACTGATAGTTAAATCATATGTGTCTGTCTTTTCCTTCAATTTAGACAAAGATAAATATATGATTTAACTATCAGTTAATTTATTAAGAAGTTACAACAACCGACCCTAAAGGCCGAGGTAAGCTGCCTAACAGTTAAATCGTGTCCATCTCTGTCTAATTGGAAGAAAAACGACAGACATATGATTTAACCATCGGGTAGCTTACCTAAAGGAACAATCGGCGCTATGCGAAATGACTGAAGTCATGGCCATGCCATAAATTGCGATTTCCGTTGAAATCGAAAAATTTACTATAATCTTATTTTGGAAACGAGAATGACAATCCGCATTAATATCTTGAGTTGCATTCCATGACATTCTTTTTGAGAAAATTTTACTCGATACTTTATAGTATATGTAACGTGAACTATAGGTATTGAGTAAAATTTTCCTCAAAAAGAAATTTTGGAATGCAACCCTAAAAAGATGCCTTTATTTCCAATTCTCATTCTAACTGTTCGGAACCGACGTTAAACTGTAGGTTCCGGTGAAGGTATATATCTATATACAACCAATGTGTACATTAAAGATACGTGAATGAAGTCAAGTCGTCTGAAATTAGGCGACGGGACTACATGGTTACACAGCACACAGCACACAGCACACAGCACACTTCTTCGAACCAAATGTTTGATTATACTATTACACGATCATTTTTTGTTGCAGTGATACATGATTTTACGCATGCTTATATACAAGAAAGTTACTGTAGAACATGTAATATCTTTATTATGCGAAATTTGAAATTGTTATTCATATTCTTTATATACGTGCCGTGCGAGATTCGTCTTTCATAAAAATTTCATCGTGTCTCCTTACGTGTGATCTACAAAGCATGCGCGGTCCATCGCGCGGGAACCCCGAAGGTCGCTCGATGCCAACTGACGTCAAGCGATAGCCGGCCGGCCGGTTGCTTCGCTCCGTCGATCGCCGCTTGCGGTCAGGCGTGGGACCTCGCCGCGGCGGTTTAAATGGTCGACGGAATGCGGTTAAGCCTTTTTGCTATTCGCGCGGCAGTCGTACATCGAGCGGCGGGGATATTCACTGCCGTAGCACTCGTACATGACGCCCCCATGGCATCCTCTTACTATTGGTTTTCTTCAAAATTAAGATTCAGAACTATAGGTATATATATTTATATATAGGTTAAGAATGCACGATATATAAGCTATCATAGACTCAGAATTCATATGCATCACGATATATGATCTATCATAGATTAAGAATTCACAGAAATGACTGAATTGTGTGCCACGTTCTGTGGCATATGACTTCTTAATTACTCGTGAGTCTTCTTTGCCGATATTGATTATTATTGTATTGTGAGTTCGGGGACTCTCTGAACGATCTCTCTCGTGTTCTTAAAATCTGATCGATTGTTGCAAAGAGTCGACTATCACTTTAAGTTACATTTATGAAACGTTGATAGACGTCCAGTTTGCTGGAAAGCTGTATCGTTCGTATTCTGAGACACATCGATTAGAGCGGAGCCATCGTACTTTTGAGACAGTGAACCATGATTCCATCTAATCGGATCATCAGTGATATGAAGTGTCGCTTTCCCTTCATGAAATCAAAAGTATTATGCGTTTTGCTGTACTCTTTGCAACACGGTGGTCACTTTTCGTGAACATTTGAGAAACGTTCTTTGTTAATGAATTAAGGATCTGTTATTCAACAAGGGAAAAATTTGAATCGTGATTATTGATGTAAAGTAAATTATGAATTTTAGAAAGTAAATGACTTTTTCTTACATATGTAGTCGTTTTTTTCTTCTTTTTTTTATATTTTTATATTTTTTAATTTTTTTATATTTTGGAATGTCATTACGTTTTGCGTAAATTCACGTCGAGAAAAATACAATTGAATACTCATGATACTTTTTTTCGTGAGAAATCAATTGTATCGGAATAATCCACAAAGAAACGTTCAAATAGTGACAGAGTGAATGAAAATAGTGAATGAATGAAATGCGAAGCATTGCAAGGGATTAGCGAAAGATCGAAAGACTTGGTGACAGGTGTATCAGCCGATTTGCATGATCTCTTTTTGTATGATTCCTTTCAACACAGAGAGCCCGCTTTCGTGGAGCGGAAATAGCGAGCGGCGCCGGGCTGCGTCTTAGCGCCGTTAATTACGCAAGAGACCTTGCGCGACGTGCGCGATTATATCGTAATAATAGTGACGATAGAGCGAATAGAGCGGGTAAAGCGGGATAGGGGCAGGGGGCCTGGCTTTGCATCTAGCGGGGGAGTAGGAAATTCCCTGGCGCGCGCGCGCTGGCGCAGACAGGACGATCGTGGAATTCCTCGAACTCCTCGGGCCGGACCGCCTCGATCTCGCGTCTCGCAAGATTAATCACCAGGTGAGGACCGGGCCGGCAAAGCGAGCGGCAAAAAACGAGTGCACTTTGTTCGCCGTATCGAGATCGCATCTCGGAATCCGTGATTAACGTCGGCCGGCGGATCGGTTTTCAGCGGCGTCGGCGAGGGCTTTTCGCTGCTTCCTAAAGCGATGTCTACAGTGAGAACTTAAGCCACAAGACTTAGGGCCATCGCACACAAAATGACACAGCTGCATATGCATAGCACAAAACCATTTCGACCAATGAGCATCCAGGATAAAGTTGCCGCATTGATTTGATGAGCAGAACATGCTCGTTGGTCGAGACGGTCTTATGTCATGCACATTCAGCTATATTATGTGCGCGACGATCCTTGAAGCCGTGAGCCTAAAGCCGTGAGAAATTGACTGATCACAGTCAATTATTTTTCTCATATTTGACTGTGATTGATCTCTCCATTTCTTACGGTTTAAGGCTCAAAGCTTATATGCACTTCCTATACTTTAGTTGTGTAACAGCATAAACTTTTCGTCTCTGTGAATTCGAAAAAACAGCATTAAGCATTATTAAGCATTTCCAATATTAAATGATATCGAATACACGTGAATATTTAAGAATGGCAACAAAGTTAATCACGAGCGTTGATATCGTTACGAGAAAGCTTGAGAAGATGACAAAATCTTATGGCTTAAGTTCTCATTGTAGGTACTACTTAAGCGCCCGCGCGTGTTTCGAGACTGCGGTCTGTTCGATTTCGCGCAGCTTCGATAGATCGCGTAAAAACGTCCCGTCGAGCCGCGCGTCGCACTCTTTTGCACGATCGTATCGCGCGGCGCGAATAGTTACGCGTTGATTTATGAACGGAGAGCAGCTGCCTTCCGCTGTGCGCGTGATCTCGTGAATTGAAACGACATGGGGAATTATATGGAATTATAAATGGAAATTTCAAATTGAATTGCAATCAACGTCGGCCCAGTGGCAATTCGAACTCCATGACTCGCGCTTTGATCCGCGCCACTTTTAATTACACGCTCTCGCATTCGCTCGCTCGTTTGCTTGCTCACTTGCTTGCTCGATCTCGTGCCGTTAACGAGTAATTCTGCGCTCGCCCACGACGGGATCGCGGCGACTTGGCACGATCCTGCCGTCGGTGGACGTTTTTCACCGAAGACGCCGGCTCGTCTTACGTCTCGAGCTGCCTTTCGAGGTATTCGCACGCAACTCCACCCAGGTTCTCTCTTTCGCTGTCGATGGTACAGGCCGCGCGCGCGCGCACGCGGTTCCGTTCCTCATGCAAATTCCACGCTCAAAGCTTCCAGGAAAGTCGCGCCTTGGAACGCGCTATTCGCGCGCGTCGCATCTCAAATCGGGATTCGCGAGGGATCGCGCCACGAATTCAAACGCGCGCTGCGGTCACGTGCGTGCATGCGTGCGTGCTGCTATGCGCGTCTGAAAATTCGTTTCGATTTCGGAGAAGCGCGATGAAACGCGAACACTTTTCCGCCCTGCGTCATCGCGAATGGAGAACGCGTCCCGCGCTGAAGACAGAATTGCACAATTCTCACCCGGAAAACCTCGTCGTCTTTTCCTCCTCCGCGCAATTTCGTCTTCCTCTCCCTCCCCCCCCCCCCCCCCC